CCCAGGATGAGTGTTGGCTTTGAGTCAGAAACAAAGATACAATCCATTCAATGGCTACACCCCTCCGCGCCTGCGCCAAAGAAGGCTAAGGTCATTTCATCTGCAGGGAAGATTATGACCTCAATTTTTAAGAAGCAAAAGACATTATTTACATCTTCTTTGTCGCCATATTTATTACAACGTTTCGGTCATTGAACGCTCCGGCCTTCTTCAGGTGGTTGGAATGTCGAACTGAACCCTTTATTTCGCTCACTGGGGCAGACTGTTCTAGTTCCACGTGCCGTGTTGAGGACACATGACACAGTGGATAAAGGTGTTGGTTAGATCCAGTGACAGGACCCAAAGAGTGTGAGTTCAATACCCCGTTAAAGCAGTGGAGAACTTTCAGAGGGAAATTAACAGGAGATAACTGATAACTGACATCCATCAAACATGGCACGTGGAACTAGAACAGTCTACTCCAGTGAGCGAAATAAAGGGTTCAGTTCGACATTCCAACCACCTGAAGAACGCCGGAGCGTACAACGGCCGAAACGTTGTGATAAATATGGCGACAAAGATGAGGACGATAGTCCGAATAATGTAAATAATTTACATAATACCTCATCTCAGAAATATAGTAGACAGATAGCAAAAGACATTGTGCTTATTAATTATCTTCAAAGGGGTCACACCATCAATGGAGAATACTACGTCAACATGCTAAGACAATTACGAAAGTACATCAAGACCAAACACCAAGGAAAACTGATGAAAAGTGGGTCTTCTTTCATGAGGACAATGCCCCAGCACACAAGTCCTTGGTTTCAATGGCAGCTCTGCATGACGATGGCTTTGAACTGAGTGATCATCCTCCCTGTTCCCCTAGTTTGACTATCATCTGTCCTCCAACATGAAAAAACTGTTGGCTGGGAACCAGTATCGCAGTGATTATGACGGTTTTTTTTTTTTTTTTTTTTTTTAAGTAACACATTGAACACTCTTCTTTGGACAGTCATATGTCAGTTTATCTGGAACTAAACAATGTAGTTATTATTATGAAATGTTGAAATGAATGCATGTAAGATTTCACAGCTCTAGCACTAATCCTTTATAGTCAGCCTATGAACTTTTCAGCCCACCCACGTACAGTGAAGTATTTTGCTTATTAAAAATATTAAATTTAATCTATTAGCTTGGAAATAAAACTAAAATAATAATAGGTACCTTAAAAAGCGATACCTAAGGTTTTAAATGCATTTTTCATTTTTTTTAAAATGTATTTTAAACCTTACGTATCACTTTTAATCAAGCTGGAGATTTTATAACATTCAAATGTAAAAATTTAAATCAAGCCTCTGATTTTGATTTTTTTCTATCACGGGCCGTCATTGAACGCCTCACGGAAAAGATATAAATGTTGGAATTATAATGACATTATCAACACTATAAAAATACAGTTGAACATTTATTTCCTTTACAGCCTTCTGTAGAAAAGTCGATAGTTTACTTTCCTTTTCAGCTATTAACACTGTCATCTGCATATTTGTTTTAATCATTCAACATCAAGCAAAGCAATAATGCCACTAAGACACAAGGGGTTACTGGGATTGAAAGAAAATGAGAAGTTTAAAAAAACAGTATCCAGAAAAACAGTTAATAGCGATTGGCGTTGCATTGACATTTTTGAAGATTTTCAAGTGCGAGGGGAGCAAGAACTTGAAAAAGAGTTCCACAGGCGAAAAGTGCGAGAAAAGAAGATATAACTTACGGTTGCATCTAGCTAAACGGTTTGACTTAGTTTGCTTAAATTTATTCAATCGATGTACTAAAGAGGAAAGCTCATCGGGAAAATTACCATAAAAATATTTACAAAAAAAGACGTTGATGGAAAAATGACTGAAGCCGAGATGTCAGATCACGATCGATTACATTACAGATCCATCTTCGGATTTTGTCAAGAATTTCGAAATATATAGTAGGACATCCTGACCAGATATGGTAGCAATATTCAATACACGAACGTCATATCTGATTTTGGCGGGGTTTTTTTTTGCGGGGTGGGGATTACCAACAAATTAGACTGTCTTCTTTTAACAGTCAGACGGCAGTTTAACTGGAAAGAAACAATGCAGTTATTATTAATAAGAATTGACATTAATGCATGCAAGATTTAACGGCTCTATCATCACTCGTCCATAGCCCCACCCTCATACAACCATGATTTGTTTCGGAAATGATTATGGAATGATTTCAAAATTGCCTTCTCCACAGTGATTTTCTTGAGACAGTACCTCTAGTTTCATCTGCGGTTTCATAGGTCTTATTTTCTTGCCCTATAGGGTTGCTACTCCTCTCACCCCAGGAAATCGATTTACTCGCCGAAGATCTGGTAATAACAACAAAACAAATAAAAGATTTGATTGTAAGTTTTTACTTAGCTAAAGATCTTAAGCATTTTTGCTTCGTTTTTCTTTTTTTTCTTTTTTTTTTTTTGATTTTGAGCAGAAGTCTAAAATCATCTGGACGCGTCATAATAAATCATGTACAGAAATCTGGGAAGTGTTATAGCAGACTACGGAATATGTGACACCGAAATCCGAAGTTGCAGTGGACTAGCGAAAGGTGCCTTTCAGAAGCTAAGAAAATTAATAAGGAACGGGAAAATGTTGTTAGAAACAAAGAAAATAGTGCTGAACTACTGTGTAATATCAGTCCTCTTAAATGTCAGTGAATGCTGGGCAATGTCCCCACAGATAAACAGGACGCTTGAGATAACAGAGATGTGGTTGTACAGGATGCTGGAGACTGACCATGTGAGTAACGAGGGAGATTTAAAGAAAATGGAAATAAAAAACGATATTTATATTTAGAATCATAAAGAAACAACTGAAACTCCTGGGACACATAATGAGGAAAGAAGACTTAGAAAATTTGACACACACAGGGCATATTAAAGGCAAGGGATACAGAAGGAAACAACGAGTAACCTACCAAACGAGCTTGTGTAAATGGATGGCAGAACATGGACTGGGAGATATAGTAAAGAAACAAATATGGTTTAGAGCTACAACAGATAGGAACTTGTGGAGAGCTATGATTGCATAAGTCCAGAAAGAACATAAACGAAGAAATCTACGATGCAAAGTTAGCACTGGCTTACCAGATACCTCAACTTTACATATAAGACCCAGGGATTTTTTTAGTTATTTTAGTGAGAAAAGGGGATTTATACGCACTGAAATTCGCTAATTAAAAATGTTACTCGTTATTTTTTAAAAGATTTTCCTAAAAACGATTGACAAATTCCAAATCTTTGAAGAAAATGAATAAGCTAATAATTATTAAAGTGAGTTAATAATTTCCGGTTTTATTTATCAACCTCATTCTTAATTCCAATTAAACTTTATCCGATTAGACAGAGTTCGCCAAAAATGGATACATACTTCGGAAAAGGAAAAACTTGCGTATTGGAGGTTTTCTTCTAAACTCACGGTTTCAACAACATTCTCATATATGAAATACCACTTTAAAATAATCTTACGTTCCTCAAACGACGTTCGCCATATTGGAGACGTTACTTGTTGATGCTACAGCCATGACGGTAACGCCATCTGTCGGGAAAATATCGTACTACAGTAAACAGTGTTATCGCAATTTGATAAAACTACAAAGGACACTTTTTTTTTCTTTCCTCAAGTGTTTCTACTTTTTTTGACAGACTCCGTATATTCACCATTATGTGTAATGACTTGTTGCCACTTATCAGGCAACTCTTTAATATCTTTTGAGTAAAATTCCGCAGATTTGGATGTAAAAGAACCGTTCTCTGAATTCTTGAATATTTATTCTGTGTTACTTCTTACTATAAGCGGCCTTGCGTTGCCATGAAGGAGACCAATATTTTTATTATTGACGAGAGCTTTCGACCAAATATTTATAGACACGTTACAACTGCTGGACATATAAATGCGCATTTAGTGTTTAGTTGTGTTTTAGGAACTTTAAACGGCATACTCCGACGATTCCTCGACACGGACAACATTACCTTTCATATGGGGCTCAGCTTTTGGAGTTGGTTGTGGATGTGCGTGTGGTGTAATAGATATCGGCTCGGAATTGGAAATCTAGAAACTGAGTTCGAATTCCAGTCGAGTTCGTTACATTTTCTTACACGCAAATACCCTTGGGTTGAATACCCTTGGGTTGTATAGCATTGGTTGGCTACCAGTCTATCGCAAAAAGAAATTTCAACCTGCTGCGGGAAAAAACGTCTGCCTAGCCAATCATGAATAGAAAGAGATATGATCGCCCAATCGTGTCTCATGATGGCACTTAACTGACTGAAATTTATTCTCACTGTTTTTTTCGTTGGACATTGTTGTATGCAATTCATTTTTCATCACCTGTTATGATCTATTAGGTGATAGAATTAAGTTGATACATTCGTCAATATAATTGATTCCCAAAAAACGAAAATTATTTATGACTTAACATAACAGTAGTATGTTTATATAATCATCAAATGCACATCTTCCATTTTACCTAACCCTGGCAGAACTGAATTGTCTAAAGATGCAGAGAACGTTCTTAAAAACAGCACGCGAAAACTTTTGGCGCCAAGAAACCAAAATAGCCCTCTCTAACGGAAGCCGGCGTTCCTTTCTCTCATACTTTACAATGTTTGCCGTACCACTTAGATACGATCGTGTTTGTAGTGCTACTGTACTTTAACCTCACTCGCTTGTCTTTTCACGAGCTTTCATTCCGGCAGACGAGAAGGCGTGGCTGGAGATTTACATTCCAAGCTGCCCTTGTTTCTTTGTAAATGCCATAGTGGTCGACTAACTTTTCTCTTTCTCTCTCTCTCTCTCTCTCTCTCTCTCTCTCTCTCTCTCTCTCTCTCTCTCTCTCCCAACACACACACAAAGAGTGGTTATTTGTTTTCTGCCAATTTGATACCGAAATTCCAAAGAGTGCTGCTTTTACTTTATTTGTTTACCTATTTTTCAAGGTGGATATTAAATCCTACGTTCCAATATAAATGAAATATATAATGTTTGTTTTTCCATGTTCGCATATGTGTAGCTATAGAAATGGATAAACATATATAAATCAGGAAAAGTAGAGAGGAGAAGAAAAAAATGAAAAAGTAGAGGACAGTAGTGAAGAAAGAAAAAGGTGAATGAAAAGAGAAAGACAGAAAGAAAAAAAGAACAGAAAACAAGAAAGAAAATGAGAGAGAGAGGGGGGGTGACAAAAAGTAAAAAGAAGAGGAGAGTAGGGAAGAAAAAGATATCGAAATAGAAAAAGGAGAAAAACGAAAAAAGAAGGACCGACAAATGAAAGAAAGGGCAAGAGAGAAAAGAGAGAAGCAAAATGAGAGAGGAAAAGAATTGAAAAGGAAGAGAGGGATTAAAAGGTAGAGAAAGCAGAAACAAAACAAAGAGACAGTGGAAGGTTGGAAAAACTAGTTGAGAAGGGGAGGATGAAAGAAACGGAAGAAGGAGAAGGAGACAGAAATGGAAAGAAATAGAGAGGAACTGAAATGTAGAGAGAGAAGGTAAAAAGAAAGGGAAAGAAAATACCGGAAACACAGAGAGAGCGTGAAGCAGAAATGGAGAGATATAGGCAGAGACAGGGAGAAAGAGAGGGGAACAGAAGATGGAGAGAGAGAGATGGTAAAAAGAAAGAGAAAGAAAATGCCAGAAACACGGAGACGGCGTGAAGCAGAAATGGAGAGATATAGGCAGAGACTGGGAGAAAGAGAGGGGAACTGACATGGAGAGAGAGAAAATATCGGAAACACAGAAAAAAGAAAGGATAAAAAAAAAGGGAAAAGAAATATCGGAAACACAGAGAGCGTGAAGCAGAAATGGAGAGATATAGGCAGAGACAGGGAGGAAGAGAGGAGGACAGAAGATGGGGAGAGAGAAGGTAAAAAAGAAAAAGAAGAAAAAATACCAGAAACACAGAGAGGGCGTGAAAGAAAAATGGAGAGATAGGCAGAGACAGGAAGAAAGAGAGGGGAACAGAAATGGAGAGAGAGAAGTTAAAAAGAAAGGGAAAGAAAATAACGGAAACACAGAGAGAGAGTGAAGCAGAAATGGAGAGATATAGGCAGAGACAGGGAGGAAGAGAGGGGAAGAGAAGATGGAGAGAGAGACGGTAAAAAGAAAAGGAAAGAAAATACCAGAAACACTGAGAGGGCGTGCAAGAAAAATGGAGAGATATTGGCAGAGAAAGGAAGAAAGAGAGGGGAAAAGAAATGGAGAAAGAGAAGGTAAAAAGAAAAAGAAAGTAAATAACGGAAACACAGTGGGAGCGTGAGGCAGAAATAGAGAGATATAGGCAGAGACAGGGAGAAAGAGACGGGAACAGAAATGGAGAGAGAGAGATGGTAAAAAGAAAGGGAAAAAAAATACCGGAAACACAGAGAGAGCGTGAAGGAGAAATGGAGAGATATAGAGAGAGACTGGGAGAAAGAGAGGGTGACAGAAATGCAGAGAGAAAAGGTAAAAAGAAACGGAAAGAAAATACCGGAAACACAGAGACAGCGTAAAGCAGAAAGGGAGAGATATATGCAGAGACAGGGAGAAAGAGAGGGGAACAGAAATGCAGAGAGAAAAGGTAAAAAGAAAGGGAAAGAAAATACCGGAAACACAGAGAGAGCGTGAAGCAGAAATGGAGTGATAGAGGCAGAGACTGGGAGAAAGAGAGGGGAACAGAAATGGAGAGAGAGAAGGTAAAAAAAGGAAAAGAAAATACCGGAAACACAGAGAGAGCGTGAAGCAGAAATGGAGAGATATAGGCAAAGACAGGAAGAAAGAGAGGGGAACAGAAATGGAAAGAGAGAAGGTAAACAGAAAGGGAAAGAAAACACCGGAAACACAGAGAGAGCTTGAAGGAGAAATGGAGAGATATAGACAGAGACAGGGAGAAAGAGAAGGGAACAGAAATGGAGAGAGAGAGAAGGTAAAAAGAAATGGAGAGATAATACCGGAAACACTAACAGAGTGTGAATCAGAAATGGAGAGATATAGGCAGAGACGGGGAGAAAGAGAGGGTGACAGAAATGCAGAGAGAAAATATAAAAAGAAAGGGAAAGAAAATACCGGAAACACAGAGAGAGCGTGAAGCAGAAATGGAGATATATAGGCAGAGGCTGGGAGAAAGAGGGGGGAACAGAAATGGAGAGAGAGAAGGTAAAAAAAGCAAAAGAAAATACCGGGAACACAGAGAGAGCGTGAAGCAGAAATGGAGAGATATAGACAGAGAGAGGGAGAAAGAAAGGGGAACAGAAAAGAAAGAGAGAAGGCAAAAAGAAAGGAAAAGAAAATACCGGAAACACAGAGAGAGCGTGAAGCAGAAATGGAGAGATATAGGCAGAGACAGGGAGAAAGAGAGGGGAACAGAAATGGAGAGAGAGAAGGTAAAAAGAAAGGAAAAGAAAACACCGGAAACACAGAGAGAGCATGAATCAGAAATGGAGAGATATAGACAGAGACAGGGAGAAAGAGATGGGAACAGTAATGGAGAGAGGGAAGGTAAAAAGTAAATGAAAGACCACACCGGAAACACAGAGAGAGAGTGAAGCAGAAATGGAGAGAGAGAGATGGTAAAAAGAAAGTGAAAGAAAATACCGGAAACACCGAGAGAGAGTGAAGGAGAAATGGAGAGATATAGGCAGAGACTGGGAGAAAGAGATTGGGACAGAAGATGGAGAGAGAAAAGTTAAAAAGAAAAGGAAAGTAAATACCAGAAACACAGAGAGGGCGTGAAAGAGAAATGGAGAGATATAGGCAGAGACAGGAAGAAAGAGAGGGGAACAGAAATGGAGAGAGAGTGAAGGTAAAAAGAAAGGGAAAGAAAATACCGGAAACACAGAGGGAGCGTGAAGCAGAAATGGAGATATATAGGCAGAGACAGGGAGAAAGAGAGGGGAACAGAAATGGAGAGAGAGTGAAGTTAAAAAGAAAGGGAAAGAAAATACCTGAAACACAGAGAGAGCGTGAAACAGAAATGGAGAGATATAGGCAGAGACTGGGAGAAAGAGAGGTTGACAGAAATGGAGAGGAAAAGGTAAAAAGAAAGCGAAAGAAAATACCGGAAAACAGACAGGGCGTGAAAGAGAAATGCAGAGATATAGACAGAGACAGGGAGAAAGAGATGGGAACAGTAATGGAGAGAGGGAAGGTAAAAAGTAAATGAAAGACCACACCGGAAACACAGAGAGAGAGTGAAGCAGAAATGGAGAGAGAGAGATGGTAAAAAGAAATGGAAAAATAATACCGGAAACACAAACAGAGTGTGAATCAGAAATGGAGAGATATAGGCAGAGACGGGGAGAAAGAGAGGGTGACAGAAATGCAGAGAGGAAATATAAAAAGAAAGGGAAAGAAAATACCGGAAACACAGAGAGAGAGTGAAGGAGAAATGGAGATATAGGCAGAGACTGGGAGAAAGAGTAATGGGACAGTAAAAAGATGGAGAGAAAAAAGTTAAAAAGAAAAGAGAAAGTAAATACCAGAAAAACACAGAAAGAGGGCGTGAGTGAAAGAGAAATGGAGAGATATAGGCAGAGACTGGGAGAAAGAGAGTGGGACAGAAGATGGAGAGAGAAAAGTTAAAAAGAAAAGTAAAAAGAAACACAGAGAGGGCGTGAAAGAGAAATGGAGAGATATAGGCAGAGACAGGAAGAAAGAGAGGGGAACAGAAATGGAGAGAGTGAAGGTAAAAAGAAAGGGAAAGAAAATACCGGAAACACAGAGGGAGCGTGAAGCAGAAATGGAGATATATGGGCAGAGACAGGGAGAAAGAGAGGGGAACAGAAATGGAGAGAGAGTGAAGTTAAAAAGAAAGGGAAAGAAAATACCTGAAACACAGAGAGAGCGTGAAACAGAAATGGAGAGATATAGGCAGAGACTGGGGAAAAAGAGGTTGACAGAAATGGAGAGGAAAAGGTAAAAAAAGAAAGCGAAAGAAAATACCGGAAAACAGACAGGGCGTGAAAGAGAAATGCAGAGATATAGACAGAGACAGGGAAAGTAAAAAAAAACGGAAGAAGGAGAAGGAACAGAAAGAAATGAAAGAGAGAAAAGGTAAAAAAAAAAGAAAGGGAAAGAAAATAACGGAAACACAGAGAGAGCGTGAAGCAGAAATGGAGAGATATAGGCAGAGACTGGGAGAAAGAGAGGGGAACAGACATGGAGAGAGTGAAGGTAAAAAGAAAAGGAAAGAAAATATCGGAAACACAGTGAGAGTGTGAAGCAGAAATGGAGAGATATAGGCAGAGACAGGGAGAAAGAGAGAGCACAGAAATGGAGAGAGTGGGTATAAAGAAAAAGAAAGAAAATACCGGAAACACAGAGAGACGGTGAAGCCGAAATGGAGAGATATAGGCAGAGACTGGGAGAAAGGGAGGTGAACAGAAATTGAGAGAGAAGTATAGTGCGAGAATTCAGAGAAATTCAACATAAATTTTTAGTTTTTCATTCATAAATGAACGAGATAACAAAATAACGGTACAAAATAAATATTTATAGGGTCTTGCTTTTACAAAGATGCGGATTACTGTATAACGTGTGGTATAAAACTTCCAAAATAAAACGCCTACCTACCTTGAAAATCAACACTCGAACTCAAGCCCGTTGACTGGATTCGAGCAGCGACTTCAGGTGCCGATGGAAAAACAGCAATGATTACAGAAATCAAATCGGTCTACAGAGAGAAGAATGTATAGAACCGAGATAGAGGGGGGGTGTACGGAATTAGATAGAGTCTAAGCAGGGTTAGAGAGAGAGAGAGAGAGAGATAGAGAGAGAGAGAGAGGAAATATGAACAGTGTTAAAGATCAATGTGAAAAGACCAACAGAGACGAGTGAGAAGAGATAGAGGGTTGGTGTACGGAATTAGAGGTAGAAATGAGCTAAATTTGAGAGAGAAAGAAACATGGAAAGAGTTATAGAAAGAGGGGTATGAGCAGATATATATATATATATATATATATATATATATATATATATATATATATATATATATATATATATATATATATCCGATGCAATGAGAACGAAAACAATATATAAGTTCTAACGTTCACAGCATTAATTCAAAAGAGGGCCTGATACCGATAGCAGAGCAAGAATTATTTATTTTAATTTTTTCATATAGACAAAAAACAGTTTACTCACTACAAAGATGCAACTTCGTTTCAGTGTATTTCAAATGCACTTCGACTGGTGAGAACCAAAATGCTTATGAACAATTCTCATTGTAAGCAAGCCGTATGCTTATAAACAGATTTTTCATAACCATTTTGGTGAGTTAACTGTTTACCCCTTTTTGAATATATATATATATATATATTTTATATATATATATATATATATATATATATATATTGACAGATAAAGAGATGTGTATGTGCAGTGAGAGAACGGAATGTGCTGAGATAGAGAGTTATAGACAAAGATATAGATGATATAGACATGACCAATATGGATTGACTAATCGGAGAGTCGAGTTCGAATTGCAGTCGGAGCCATTACATTCGCTTACGTGCTAATAATACCCTTTAGAAAGTTATGAATCCTCTTCTTCTCTCCTATGAGTAAATAGCAGGACAGACTGGGTTCTATAACCTTGGGTGGGAACCGGTCTAGGAGACGGAAAAACTCTGAATTCAAAACCTGCCTGGAGTGGGTTGGGCTCCATCAGGCTATGTTGGCCAAGAAACACCACTTCTACCGCAGTACACATGGTGCCCTAAAAAATATGATAGGTATGTGTGGACTATGAGAAGGGCATGAGTAGAAAGAAAGTGATATGGGGCAGGACTGAAAAAGAGAGAGAAAGATATATGGGCAGAGCTAAAGAAAGAGATATGTCAGAAATAGATAAGGAGTGAGGGAAAGAAAGCGATATGGCAAAGATACAGAGACGGAAGGGGTATAGCAGTGAGAGATAGACAGAAAGATAGATATATGACAGAGATAGAGAAAGAAAGAGATATGGCAGATATATAGAAAGAAAATGAGTGTGGCAGAAATAGAGAAGTTGGGGTATGGCTGTGAAAGATGGAATATGATATGGGTAGAGATAGAGAGAGAATGAGTTAAGGACAGAGATTGAGGGAGAGGCATACGAGTAGGGATTGAGTGGCGGACGGGCCCTACTAACATCAGTTATGTTTAGTTCACTTTGTGTTCATGTTTAGTTTGTTATTGGGTTCATCTTTTCCTCTCATTTTTCATCTTTAGAATTGTATATATAGTTTATTATCAATAATTTTTTATGGCATGGGGCGCATTTCATAGGTTCCCCTTGAGAGGATGCGGTATTATGGTGTATGGAGGATTGATTGGTGGCGGACGAGTTTTTATGGTGAATGTGAAAATTGTAATGAGTGAATGGATCGTGAATCGGATTAGCTAGGTATAAGACAGTTAGTGAAGACCAGCCTCAACCCCTCCCCTTTTTTCGGCCTTGTGCCATAATTGTATTTTTATGCAATAAATATCCACTAATTTGGGACTTTTCTTATTAAAAAGTTGAATAATTTTAATACATTCAATATTATGGCTAATAAAAATTGTGAATTTTATATTGCGTTTTCTCCAGACTTAGCAGGAGCAAAACCAATTCACGAATTTGGAGAAAAAATAACCCAGAATGATGTCAAAATCTGTAAAAAAAAATTATCCTTTAATTTATAACGAATATAAATGTAGTTAGATAAAAAGAAATGTTGGTAAGATAGCGAAGGTCACAAAGCATTGCCCGGATTCCTCAATCAGGTTTTACTTAGAAACAAAGAGTACTTAATTGTTATGTGATATCAATGCCGTTATAGCAGTGAATGCTGGACAATCTCCCCACAGATAAATAAGAAAATGGAGACAACATAAAAGCAACGAGGAAGTTTAAAAGCAAATGGTAATTAAAAGAACATTTAGTATCAGAAAGAGAAGGTTGGCATTTCTTGAACACATAATGACAAAGGGAGGATTGGAAAACTCTTACAGGGCATATCGAGGGCCAGAGAGATAGGGAAAAGGGGTCGAGTCACCTTGTGTGAACAAAAGGCTGAACGGGAAGCAGGAAGTTTGGTAAAGGTAGAAACGCTGCTAAGCTTCACGAGAGGTTGTGGAGGGTCATAATCACACATGTCTTGAGGAGACAATCAAATAGAAGATGTACTTTAAAGACAATCATTCGAAACTCTTATTGTTATTATAGATAGAGAACTAATTTTTTTTATACCAGAAAATACTTCACGTTTTCTATAGTCCTGGGTATGATGATAAACTACATCCGGCAGCAAGGCGTCTCACTGAGTGATTGGAGGTTTTGATGAGCGTGGAACAACATTTTAATTGCTATTGTTCCCAGGACCACCTTCCCCCGGAGTGTTAGAACCTGTTAGGGTCCCAGCTATGGACAAATGGTAACACCCCAATAAAATAAAACACTATGAAAGTATAAAAACACCAGCAATACATTTTTATATAAAAAATTACCAACAATACATATTTATAGCCAAAAAAACAACGATACAATTTTAAAAGAAAATGACCGGCAATACATTTTATAGTATAAATTACCAATAATACATTTTATAGCAAAATGATCAACAATGCATTTTATCTGTAGTTGAATGCATACAATTGCGTTCTATATATATCAAGACCATAAAATTAAGTTCAAAATATTTAGATTTCGGCATTAAATAACCCATAGAGGCGCTAAACAAAATTAACCAACCAATTTTCTCCATTATAAAAACGACAGATGGATACGAAGAAGAGTTGGGTAGGATTAGAATTTTTTAAAATGAGATGAACTGAATAACAGAGAATAATTTATTGTGGTTCGTTCATATTTAACATAGATATGAATAGGTTTCGTTAAATAACTTTAACACTCTTGTAAAATATATTCCTTCAAACTTGTTAGTTACGTACCAACGTAGATATATCAAGTCAGAATTCGATGCTTATATCTACAGGAACGACGACTAAAAATCTCAAGTTATTTGGTCTTTCGATCGATAGATAGATAGGAAAGGTCACAGAAGAGGTTGTGTCAGAGTCAGGTGATTGTCAGTCTGTGAGTGGTGTAGACGACGAGCCCATTCGACCATACACAAGAACGCCAGTACGCCTCGTTCCACTCGCCCTTCCCGCTTACCGAACGTAATCTTGGACTATTCTTCAAGACTAGAGTCATGGTGCTACCGGAAGGCCAGACGATGGCGCTACAAGACATTGGATGGCTTGAAAGGAGTGTCATCCTATCTTCCTAACGACCTTGTTATTGGCCATTCAAAACTAAATGCTACACCAAATCGTACGTACGCGCACATACTCACACACGTGTGTATGAGACAAAGACAGTCGTACAGGAATATACACACACAGTTGAATAATACCCTTATATGACACTCAGGTACACATACCAGTGCACAATATAGAGACAAATGTATGTATAATGTAGATATTTTCTCATAGACGTAAAAACGCCGGCAGTCAAATATATTCACACATACACACGAAAACCCACAGACACACATTTCAATATCGTCATATAAACAATTATATGTGTTACGCACGTGATTTCTCTTATGAAGAGGGGTGCTGAAAAATTATTTGCTTATGAAGAAGGGTGCTGAAAAATTATCGGCTTGACCTATTTCCCGATATGAATATTGTGATGTCATTAAAATAGGGAGGTTGGTTGGAACAAAAACTTTTCAGTTACATGAACAGTCTTGCATAAACAGACACACAGTAAGATGTATTTATACTCACGCACATACTTATACGGTTTTGGGACATATAATCACATAGAAGAAGAAGTGACTTGAAGCAACAGATATGTGGTACTACAGAAGGATACTGAGAATACGATGGATGAATCGTGTAAGCAACGAGGAAGTTTTAAAGAAAATGGAAACAAATAAGACATTGTATTTAGACTCAGGAGGTTCTAGGATAAATAATTAGTAAGGAAGGCTTGGAGAATTTGACACTCACAGGATATATTGATGGCAAAGGAGAAAGGAGTAACTTACTTAACAAGCTTGTGAAAAAGGATAGTAGAACAGGGACGGAAGAGACAGTGAAAAGCAAACCTTATTAATCACTACAAAGAATAGGAAGCTGTGGAGAGTCATGATCCCCCACGCCCTGAAAGGACACGACTGATGATGATCTTAAGCCTCCACTGAAGTGTTATTGTATTCAGAGACCAACTGATGCAAACAAATTTATGGGTATGTTACAACTTGGTTGGTTTTCTTTAGCGACATTTCACCACCTCTATGGGTTATTTAAAGCCGAAATCCAAATATGTTGAACGCAATTGTATGCCTTCAACTGTAGATAAAATTTAACTTTAAAAATGTATTGTTGGTAATTTTATTATAAATTGATATTGTTGGTGATTATTTTATTGTATTGCTGGTATTTTTACTATAAAAATGTATTTTTATATTTTCGAAGTGTTTTGTTTTTGTTTGGGAGGTTCACTATTTGCCCATAGCTGGGACCCTAACCTAACCTGAGAACAACATCATTTAAGAGGTGATTCCACGCTCCTCAAAACCTCCAGTCTCCCGATCAGAGGCATTGCTGCTGGATATAGTTTATCGTCATACCCAGAACTATGCAGCAACACACATAGATACACACAGACACATGTGTCACTGATGTAATACATAATACTCAAAAACATTTACTCAAGGCGTTATTACAATAACGTAATACTCGGAGGCAATAGATACTATACATTGCTTAGCCTGGTACAAGATGACAAAAGAGGAGCGCCCGTATAAGACTAAATTTACTGACAATGGTCTAGGGGAATTGGCGTTTACATACTGCAGCTATCTACATCGTACCACTTGGCACATAAGGCGTCTTGTCACATAAGGCCCTCTTGTCACATAAGGCCCTCTTGGCACATAAAGGCCTCTTGGCACATAAGGCCCTCTTGGCACATAAAGGCCTCTTGGCACATAAAGGCCTCTTGAGTTTTCTGTTGGGGTTTACCTTCTCTTAGACTACTACGTGTTCTCATGCTAACGAGTTCCACCTACCTGGGCTTAGGAATTCAGAAGTTTATTTCTTCTAGACTGGTTGCCAACCAAGATCCTAGTTGCTGGACAGCCCAGCCTAGCTTACAGTAGATATCGATTGATATTGCATTTAATTTTTGGAGATTAAAGTTGGCTGGAAGAAAGTTCCACAAGCGAGAAGTGCAAGAGAAGAAACTGTCAGCATAGAACTACATCTAACCAGTTCAACTGTTAAATTCCTAAAGCCTAGGCACCATATAGAAGAGCAAATTCAAACAATTACCAATTGAAAGTATTTATAGAGAGGCAACTTTATGGCTGTGGGGAAGTGACTGAAGCTGAGATGCCAGATCAGGATCAATAATATTGATGATTCTACTTTGGATTTTATCAAGGAGCTCAAGATAAATAGCAGGTGCATCGGACCATATCTGACAGCAATATTCTTAACATGGTCGAATGGTAGACTATAGATATATAACATAGATTCTCGAGAGAAAAATTGTCTCGCCTGACATAGTGAACAGACTTTGTTAGGAGTAGACCCAGGAATGGATTCAATATAGTCTTTCCACTTCATATCAGCAGAGAACGTGAACCTAAGAATGCACGAATAACTTTCCTGAGGGTTAGTATCAGCCATGCTAATAGAAGGCACAAGCGGTATCTCTCAGATGATTAATAGGGAGAGGTTTAGTTTTGGAGCGTTAAAATTAACAAGCCATCTTTTTCTCCAGGTCGGGAGAACATTTCTTAATGACAATTACAGGGATACTGTCGTGTCCAGATGTTTTGTAGAGATTTATGGAAGAGGTTATATGCATATCATTCAACAGAGACTCAGTTCTAGAAGGGAAGTTAGGGAAGGATATTCCGGTTGAGTCAAGAGTAACTTAGGAGAATTTATGGGCAAAGCATTCAGCTTTACCAGCAGAGGATAACACCTCATATTGATTGAAGAAGGGAAGAACAGAGACCTTACACTTATTTAATATTCTATTATATAGCCACCAGTAATCGTAAGAGCCAAAGTTGCTATAGACTATGCGGTGCCTTATCCTCTCGGCAAAAAGAGACTTTGTTCCTTCAAGGACTCGCTTACATTTATTGCGAGCAGCAACGAATTGAGACAAGAGCAGCCTGTTGAGACGAGAGCTGTCACACTGGTATAGCCGAAAATATTGGTTCCTGTGTGCTATAGCAGCCGAGCATGTTGGTTTGAACCATGAAGATTGAGGTTTCATCTGGTATTTTCTATAAGGGACGAAAGCATCCATGCCGGCTTTGACCCAAGAAGAAACCTCATGCTCGTGATGCAATTTACAGCTGGGAGGTTAAAGATATCAGCCAAAGGGGCGTCACCGAAAAAATCACGGAGTGAGTCCCAATCAGCATGCTGGCAACGGAAAGAGGTCTTATGAATATGGCATTCCACTTAGAGGATTGGAATGAAATATCAATAGCTGCCACAGTGTGGTCAGAATTACCAAGTGGACATTGTTGCGAAGATCGGCAAAAGCTAGGAGAAGAGGTAAGAAATAAATCAAGTCGAGAAGCATGTTGCTCGGTTTGCTAGGGAACCGAGTAGGAAAGTCCACGCTTTGACTGAGAATTAGGCAATTAAAAATTTTATACACTATTTACATTATTCGGACTATTGTCCTCATCTTTGTCGCCATATTTATTACAACATTTCAACCATTGGAAAATTCGTATACTTAAGGAATCAGCACATATGGCCACAAAAATCTCCTGAGCCGACCAAGCATAGAAATGAATACAATATGGAAACCAGTAATAAGGAGTGCCAGAGAAAAGCGATAACAACAAAAATTGTAATATGAGCTCTGGTAAAAATATGAAATGATAACAGCAAAAATTGCAATACGAGTACTGGTAAAAAAAAAAAAAGGTTGCTGAAGACATTAGGTTTTAAACTGACAGAAATTCATACACAGATGTCCTCAAGGACACATGGCACAGTGGATGAAGGCGTTAGTTAGATCCGGTGACAGGACCCAAAGAGTTCAATACCTGGTTAAGGCGGTGGAGAACTTTGAGAGGTAAGCAGGAGATAACTGATAACTGACATCCATTGGACATGGCACGTGGAACTAGAACAGTCTACCCCAGTGAGTGAAATAAAGGGTTCAGTTCGAAATTCCAACCACCTGAAGAAGGCCAGAGCGTACAACGGCCGAAACGTTGTGATAAATATGGCGACAAAGATGAGGACAATAGTCCAAATAATGTAAATAATGTACATAATACCGCATCTCAGAAATATAGACAGATACTGAAATAGTTTTATGTCTGTACACCGGCAACATCAGTCCTTTAGAATGTTTGTGTAAGCTACGTGTTGTGATGAGCATTAAAGTCACCAAAGACCAAGATTTTCGCAGGTGAGTGGAGCGAAAGTGCTTTTACTATACTGTATGCTATTATGTCTAATATACTACAGTCCTGGGAAGAGAAGGTGAGATGAAGAAATAAAGAGATAGCCAATAGAGTTTAGTAATGAATGACGGAAGCACATGAAGGAGTAGTCTGGGGCCTCGAGAGACAATTCCCTGGCCACCGGAAGATTATCCCGGATGTAAACATCAAGGACATGCGTTTTCCGCTGACATGAAGTGGAAAGATAATAATCAATTGCAAGGTCTGCTGCTACGAAGATGGTTCACAGTGTTAGACAAATTTTCTCGCCAAATATTCTAGATATTTAGAAGTCTACCAATATCTTACATATTTATTAGTCTACAATTCGTCCATGCTTTGAATATTGCTGTTGTGGAATCGTGGATTCCACCCTTTTGCGTGTGTGCGCGCGCGCGCGCGCGGACTGCACCCCTTCCTGTCACGTTCAGCTAGACATAGCAGTAAACAGCCTCTTTTTGGCTGACGTGAGGAAGGTTGCTGGCTAGCTACTTCTGATACCGTCTAATTTGAAATTTTCCCGCCTTAGCCATTTTGGTTTTCTGTTTTGGCGCGGAACACTGACATTCCTTCAGTGACCTCTTGTCACAACCTTTTCATTAATTGCAAAGATACAGTAACTTTACTGATGGTCTCCACGGTCGAGACTAGATTATTTGTTATTAAAATAAAATTTCTTATTGTTTTCCATCAGACTCATTTTGTCGTTTAATCCTGGCTATCTACTTGTATTATTTTTATGCACTTGTTGAATGACCCCTTTTCCCCACTAAGATCACTCATTTAATATTTTTACTTTGTTTGTGGATTCGGTAGTCAGAAGTAGTGTCTGGCACAAGGCCACCTTTTAATAAACCAGCACTGCATGCTACCGGGCCCGCAACACTGTCATATCGGCTCTCGTGCTCCTGCTATATACTTCATAAATCTTTATGAAATCCAAAGAAGAATTTGCATTGCTACTTGTTCTGATCTGACATCTCGGTATCAGTTATTTATCCATCGTCATAGTGTAGCTTCACGGTGCCTTTTCTATAAATACTTTCATGGTAATTGTTCTGAAGACCTTTCTTCTCTGGCACCTAGACTTTATAAATTTAAGCGCAGTACGAGATTAGCCGCAATTTCTCATAATTTTGCTGTTGAAATGGCAACTAGATGTAACAATTTCATCTATAGAACTTCTCGCGGAACTCCAGCTAACTTTGATCGTCAAAATTTTAACCCATACAGTGGGGCGATTCTGTGAAAATTAGAAGTCCCAACAGGATTAATTATTGGCGACAACAATCTTAGCAATATAAGATATGCATATGACACAGTGGTGACTGAAGACAGAGAAAAGAAACTACAAAAATAAATCACTACAGAAGTTAGTGAAAGAAAGCGAGAAGAAAGGATTAAACATCAATTTCTAGAAGATAGAATGCATGGTTGCTAGCAAAAGGAACAGCCCAACATGCAAATTACAAATTAGAGATAGCAAAATCAAACAAGCACAACTGAAATATCTGAGAAGTGTTTTATCAGGATGGAAGGTAATGAAGGAAAGCAGGAGGAAAGGATTAAACATCAATTGCAAGAAGACAGAATGCATGGTTGCTAGCAAAAGGAACTGCCCAACATGCAAATTATAAATGGGAGAAAGCAAAATCAAACAAGTACACCAATTGAAATATCTGGGAAGTGTTTTATCAGGATGGAAGGTAATGATGGAAAGCAAAAGGAAAGGATTAAACCTCAATTGCAAGAAGACAGAATGCATGGTTGCTAGCAAAAGGAACAGCCCAACATGCAAATTACAAATTGGAGATAGCAAAATCAAACAAGTATAACAATTGAAATATCTGGGAAGTGTTTTATCAGGATGGAAGGTAATGAAGGAAAGCAGGAGGAAAGGATTAAACATCAATTGCAAGAAGACAGAATGCATGGTTGCTAACAAAAGGAACAGCCCAACATGCAAATTACAAATTGGAGATAGCAAAATCAAACAAGCACAACAACTGAAATATCTGGGAAGTGTTTTATCAGGATGGAAGGTAATGAAAGAAAGCAGGAGGAAAGGATTAAACATCAATTGAATCAAACAAGTACAACAATTTAATTTTTTTTATCTATAATGAAAATATCATGACTTTTTGTAACATATATGACTGATTTAGTTATTTCACGGAATATTTTATTTTCTAAGAAAGAAAGAAAGAAAGACCATAGCCACACCAACTATTGACGTATATATTTTAAAAATGTATTCAGTGAATGGAAGTTTTGTCTTACGTGCTTATGTGCTAATAGCATTTTTTAATATAATACTTTAGATTGTTAGATTTGGAAACAAGGAATAGTTTTAAATATTATTTATGATATTTATAGTTTTTTTCATAACATACGCTTCTCTTTAACTTTTATGTACGGATTGTTGAACAGTAGTATGTAAATCCATAACAACACCTACATTAACGGGGTCATTTGTTAATAGGTTTCCTACATCTAATTCAAGCTTATATTTCATTGTTAGTTACTTTAGAATGTAAAATATGTAGGCATAGATTTGTGTAATTAATTTCACATTTACTTTATAAATATGGCGATTTTAATTTATGTATTTTTTTTCAAAAGTTGATATCCACCAGTCGAGTTCTGTTTTATATTCGTGGGCGCAAAGGGGAATACATTTATGAATTTTATCGATTGATTAACTGACTCTTTTTTTACGGTTTATCAACCCATGGCGGGTTATTTAAAGCCAGAAAATATTTTTAGATTGTAAGATTTTGTTTTTTTTTATAGATAATAAGGATTTAGTGATACAAGTCTTACTAATTAACCCATAGCTGGGAGGGGAGAAGTGGTGGATTTATACCTTTCCTAATGTGCGTAAATGAATAAAACGAACCCAGCTGGAATTCGGAGCCCTTGTCCATTACACCACCCGCATGTCCAAGTTTACAGCACCTGGTATTCCAAAGCGGTCACCACTCTAGGTACTGACCAGCCTCCATGTTGCTTAACTCCGGTGATCGTACGGGAACTGGTATATCAAAGTGATATGGCCGTAAGACTTATGAATTTTTGTGTTACCATATCAGTAAACTAGGTTGATATTCTCCAAATATTTTTAGTTTAATTGGATCTATTTCGACATTGTAGTTATAATTTTGTTGAGGCTTTTTTTTTAAAAAAAAAGGTGGTACTATTTTCGTTCATTCTTTTAACAAAATGTGGGTTTCCGTTAAGAATGGCTTACCATTTAAAGTGGTAGTATTTTGTAATATTAGTTTTGTTTAATAACAATATAGTTAGAATTTCGGAGTTTAACAACGTCACGTAACTTGCTATTTAAATTTGCTTTTGCACATCGCTCAAAAGCGATGAATTTGGCTTTGACAAGTTGCCTAACCCTGAATTGAAATGTTTGTTATTTTGTGAATTGAAAATACTATTGTATAATACTTCGATTTTGGCCTTTTTGTTAATTATATATTTTTGATTTGGGAAAAAAAAGACTTTTGACGTTCTCTAATTTGATCGCGCAAGATGTTGATGAAGTTGTCCGATATGGTAGGTAAATGTGTAGTTATATATAAACCTTTTTTTGCGGACGTTATATCTCGTTTAATCATAAATACTTTCTTTTGTGTAATTAACTTGGGATAGGTTTCAATTTCAGTGCGTTTATCTACGGGGGTGGAGAACTTTGAATTTTGGTTAATTTTATTAATTCCAACGTCAACACATTGTATCACTTCATTGGAAAGATTAATTTATCTTTCAATGAAATTATGGCGGACTGCTAATATAATTGAGAGTTGCGGCATTATGCAGTCTAAACTATTTAGATAGCAAATATTCGTTCACCCATGTTTTATTAAAAAGAATATAACAAATTGTGCCGTCTAAAATTTAAAATATTTTTTTCTATTTGACAGATTGATTTCCAAATGTTAGAATTGAATTTATGAAGGAGCCGTTCACAATAGATGACGCTTTCATATGAGTTAACTGTCCTGCTAGGCAATGACAACCTCCTCAGTAGACCTAGCAAAGAAATGAACACCATTTCGGAGCCTCTAATTAAATAAGAAAAGAAACTCATACAGTCTCAGCACTTCACAGGCATGAAGTTTAAGGTTACAAATTTACACCACTAGATTGTAAAAGACAAAATTACTTTAAAGTGTTGGTTAGAAAATATGAAAAAAAAAAAAATATATATATATATATATATATATATATATATATAAAAGAACAGATTAATAATCCAGAGTTCTTAATCATTTTTTTTTTTAAAGTGCTCGATACAAAGTAGAGCATAATATTATATTATTATTTAAAAATATGTTTTCATCGCGACACTTAAATTACTAAGTTTTGAAACTAAAAATTAAAATTTCTGTTCCATTCTCAAGCGATGTTGAATAACTTTAGAAAAAATGAATTACTTTTTTTAAGCAAAGTAGTATTATATTTAAGAGTTTAAGCTGGTGGGGGGATGAGATTTCAAAATTTTAAATGGGTGTTATCTTTTTTGACGAATCAGGAGATCTTTAGATCTAATCTAAAATGGAAAAGTGAAAAATTTAGGTTCAAGGTTTGGTGTGGGTATGTCATTTCTGTTTGCCGATAAGGGCTTTCGTGTATTAGACGTGTAATCCTGTCTACCTTTTTAGGAACATAACATAAGATACACTAAAATTCATGGAGTTATATGTATTGAACAATTAGTTCATTTTGGCACTTTTATTTATTTTTTCAATTTATTTTTTCCAAATAAATTTCATGCTTTTTAAAGGGAGTTTCAAATATGATTAAATCATATTTTATATATTTACATTTTTAATTATAAAGATCTAAAATGCTATATTTATTATATTTATTAGTATAATACTAGATACCGTATTGTTGAAATTAAGATTTGAAATTTATTAATTAATTACATAATTATTGTTAATTGTAATCAAAGTATAGATATATAATTATGAAAGTTTTATTAATTATGTTTTAAAGGGATCATAATGCAGTGCCTACAAAAGACAGTTATTTCTTTTCTTTGATTTAATAAATCTTTATTTTTCAGAAACTTAATAACATATAACTTTTCATGTGGGCACAAAGGACATGGGTCATTTAAAGACCTACAAGCTCTCGTCAAACAGAGTCTGAAAGAGGGTTTTCTGTGTTGTCTTGAAAAAATTCCTTTTCTTGATATACTGATAGACATCAATAATAATACATTTACTACCGCCCCATATAAAAAAAACTAATTAGCATAAACACATGCAGTCTAAACTATAAAATTGAATATCCTCATAAAACAGCTATTACATAAATTAATAAACCGTGCAAAAGTTAATTCTTCCACGAAAACATTTTCTACACTGAATTAAAAACATTAAACCATCTCTCATTAATAATGACTTTCTTAATTACATTGTAATATCAATTTTAATGTACTTTGGGAGATGTATCTCTGACAAAAATGTAAATATATATGTTGGTTTCACGACAACAACATTATCGAGGAGACTTACATTACATATGTCGGATTAAAGCTCTATTGCACAACATTTAAAGGAACATTTCTGACCACATTCACGATTTAGAGAAACAGTAATTGACAATACAGGTATACTACACCATGAGAATAAAATGCAAAAAGCTCTAATTCTTGAATCCCTCTATATATGAAAAATACAACCAACATTAAATAAGATTAATTATGCGTATAACAACGTTTTTAAATGTCTATAAAAGCAATGTGAGTATTTTAAAACAATAATAATTTTAAAAAAATATAAATTAAGTTACCTCGTTTAGATACATAATATTCTTAAAAGTTAATTTTTAAATTAATTGTAACGGAGCGCGTTCATAGATGTTTATAATTATAGCAGAGCGTGTTTCATGCGCATTTACAAAAAAAATCCCAACTATCAATTACATTCAGTGTTTTCTTAGCAATTCACCTCTGAAGATGATCTTGGATGAGAATGAAAGTCCTTGGGAAAATAAAAGAAATGAAAAAAAAAAACTACGGTGTCTTCCTTAATGTGTTTAAATAGCAACATTAAGAAATTGATCCGTGAATTTGAAAGTATTGAAATAAAAATAAACAGGCATAACATGCCCAGATTTTTTCATGCAAACATGCTTGAATGAAGATATGCTGCCTGAATGTACATATTTTAAACTACGTGATCAAGCAGCCCATCATAATACTAACACTTGTCAATTTAAACTTAACTTTGTGAAGAGGCAGATTAAAATAACAAAAAAACAACTGTTAGTAAAAATGCTCAAGAGATCCAGAACAGTCTAAAACTGGCAACCATTCCTGGAGAGTTTAAAGAACTCCTACAGAGACTTGCAGAACTCGCTAATAAATTTGAAATTCAATACCGTCTGAACATTAAAAATAACTTAATACTTATACAAAGGAAGTATTCATCTTCTAAATAAATAAAGATAAATTCATCAGCATCTTTAACTAAAAACTAACAAACCACCAAAAGGAATTACTCACCTTGAACCTGTCATCTTTACAGACAATACAATATATTGGATAAAATAACTGAAATTGAAATGTTATATCAAAACACACAAAAACTTAAAGAACAACTAATAAAACCAAAACGAGAAATTAGTGATCTACTCAAAGCTGAAGCAATAAAAGAGAGACGTGACAAAAGAAAAAAAAATTCGTCCAAGCTGCTAACAAAAATGATTGTCCACATTATTCAACCAAACAAATGAAGATATGCTGCATATATATATATATATAAATGCACATATATATATATATATATATATATATATATATATATATATATATATTTGCTTTAAAAAGAAATATAGTCTATTAGTAATTAAAAGTAAAAATAATATTTTTAAATTGTAGTTCAATATAACGTATTCTGACCCAAACACCACTTTAAAAAAAATCTTTATCTATACATGTACGAATTTAACGGAAAAAATGCCAAAAAACTTTTTCTTGTTGATAATAAAAAACAAAAAAAAAACAGACAACATGCGTTGAACGGATGTCAAAATTCGTTGAAAAATGCACCCCTACCCTACCTAAACTTAACCTCTTTTTTGAACGTAACTCATAATTGATACAATAATAGCTAATAAAAATGAACACGTTACCGCCCCTATCTAAATGATTGGATTTCTTTGTATCCTTGGAAACAAAAAATTATGGATTGTATGTGCGTTTAAAACTCACTAAATTTAAAAATAAGTTATTCCAAAATTCGCTTGAGGATGAAACAGAACTAATGCTTTTACTTTAATTATATAATTAAATTTGAAGATTTTAGCTTCGGTTTTAGAAACATGGTAATTCCAGTGTAGCGAGGAAACCATATTTTAAATCAGTTAATTTATAATATGTGTGTGTGTGTGTGTGTGTGTGTGTGTGTATTTCTAAACAATAAATATATTAATTTTTAATCTGAAATTATTCTTATTACAGACGTTATTAGAGTGGATATTTCATAGGGGAAATAGACGTTACATTTTTAATTATTAACCGTGTGTATAACGTCTCTCTGCCTGTGCATAATAGAAAGAACATCGCTTGCTGTGACATATCTCGTGGCCGAGCGGTTAAGCACACTGGATCCAACGGTGGTTTCCCTACAAAGGGGGACAGAGGTTTGATCTCGGCCGGGAACACATTTTTACTAAAATTTCTGGAATGCACAGGCCGATTGACATAATACACACGGTTTAATAAATAAAATGGGGCATCTGTTTTAAATGTCAACTATTCAATATAATAACGTTTGAAATTTTATATATATATATATATATATATATATTAATGAATATACATAATATCCAACGTCGATAGCACGACTCGGAGTTTCATGCAAACGTGCAATCTTCAGGTGCGGAATACTCACTGAACGTTAGAGCGTTATGAAATTCGCTTTCTCGTGGTGATAATTTAAAATTGTGTGTTAAGACCTGATTATTTTATTATTGTTGCCTATATTATTATAATTAATTATTTATAATTTATATCGTTCTAATTCTTACGTTCGAAAGA